AGGCAGCAAATCCACCAATTGTTTTAGGATTCATCAACTGGTTCTCAGTATATGGAAAATCATAGATTTCATTTACTGCTAGAGTAAATCAGCAATGCTCTTTCAATTTGGAAGAGGATGACAGAAAATAAAGTGGGGAAAAGTTATGAGAAGTATTTATCATTTATATGCATATATCCAGAATCATTTACCTCAATATCAGTACCAGCATAAAGGTAAAGTTCATTTGCTCCGATTCATACGTTCAGCTCTGCTGCTAATTTGTTCTACACTCTGCGGTGAGGAAGCCGGACTCATATTTAACACTCTTAACATGCCAAATAAATATACTCATTCATGCTCATAGTAAAACAGTCACAATAATCATAAGCTAAGGTTAATGACTTATCTATATGTTCAAACTCTAACCTAGTAAAGCTTTGAAATTTGAACAAAACTAACCTCTTCACCAGATACATAAACAACACAAGCGGGCTGGTCACAGTCATGCCCCTCAGCAATTAGCGCAGCCATCTTTCAAAGGTGGAATGAAACTTAACATTATACGACAGGTGTTACCAATTAAAGAATGTGAAAAAGAGAACATAGAAGCATGAGCACCCTAAATGCAACAATTTCGTACCTGCAACAGAAGGGTACTCTTTCCAACACCAGGATCACCACCGATCAAACCAATGAGCCTGTAAATCGGTAAAGTATGCACAAAAGAAATAAGCTTCCATCAAGAACTCAACATCAATTAGTTAAGAAAACCTTGGATAACTCATCATGTTTTCTTTCCATTTTCAAACTTTTTTTCGCAGCCGTAATCACAAAATTATTCAGCATGGAGACTATGCAGACCTGGAACAAGACCGCCTCCAAGCACCCTAGCAACTTCACTTCCAAAGGGACCAAACCTACATATTAAGCATACCAAACAAAAAGCATATATCAATACAAACCTAAGTACAATGCTTCAACAACTTAAGTGGGTTTTTTTTTTCTTTTTGTGGGGGGTGGGGTGGGTTACAGTGGAATCCGGTAATCCATCTTCTTAACACCACGGTTAACATCAATCAATTTTACAGGTTCCACATTCCCTGCATCCTTTGGTAGCCAAGAACGCGCCAAAGTTTCCGAAAATTCGAGCCCTCTGTTCTTAGTCTCCCCTTCCATAAACTTTTTCATCGTCCCAGAACGATCACAAGAACGGCAAACTCCCCACCACTGTCCATCTGAGTACCCACAAATCTCACAAACCCACTTAAATTTACCTTTCCCTTTCTTCTTATTTCCAAGAATATCCCCCAATCCCAACCCATTATCCAAAAATGCCTTCTTTCGACTCATCCCTTCAGTGTTTTCCTTGGGGGAATAACAAGCATTTTTGGCCTTCTGGATTTCGTCTCCATTGCTCAAATTATCATTTTTAGCCTTCTCAAAAGTCCTCTCGGTCTCGAAACCCGCATCTGCTTCCTCTCCTGAACCTAACTCGTTACCCTGGGTAAAGCCTTTATGTCTGCTGCTTGGCGTAGAAAGGTCGCCGGTAAGTCCCTCGTAGGCGGTCCACACATGCGGGGTCCTTTGGGTTCCATCGGTCTCCAAAGAATTTAGAGCGAACCGGGGGTTGGAGGAGTGGAAATGGCGGGAAAAGGAGGAGAATGAAACATGGGTTCTGGAGAGATTGCGGTGGATGAAGATTATGGGTGAAGTAAATCGATCTCAAGACTTTCATTTCTACGATCTGCATAAGAGAAACTTTGCAGTAAAATGGGAATGGAAGGAAGATAGGACTTGTGTCCTCTCCTTAAACCAGGGTTTAGCTTAGGGTTTCACACAACTATTTTTACATTTCCGTTTTGATTATTTAATTTTTGTTTTTTAAAATCATCATTAAATGTGCGTTATTGTTTTTTTAATTAAAAATATATTATTTTTGATTTTTTTAATTACACACTTATATCCGATCTATTGATCGACTAATTCAGATCGGGTACTGCAGAGGCGAGGGCGACCTTCCTAACCTAATTTGCTCTATTCACAAACGTTAGGATTCAAACGTCTAACCTTGTTTAAATGACCTAGTGTCTTATCCACTAAACTAACTGATTATTAGTAATTATTAATTGATCTATCGAATATTTTGACAATATAATTATCAAATATCAGTAATACGTATAGGAGAGAAAGGTACGATTCTTTGACTATAAGTTTTAAAGCTTCCATTCAGAAGATGGAAGTATAGTTATAGTCCAAATAAGGAAAAACTACATTATCATAACAAAGACACATATATAAAATTCTCATGCCTTCTGCTACTTGGACTTTAAGAAAGTTAACTAAAGCCACAAGTCTCCAAGGTTAGATACCACGTTGTTGTTTACATTACAACACTGTCTATACATCTTCAACCTCAGTTGTCTTCCTTCTTCCTTACCTTTTGAAGCTTGTTCTGGGACGTTAGCTTTGAATTCTTGAGGCCGACAACAATGACGGAGATGTTATCATGACTGTGTTCAGAAAGAGCTTTCTTAAGAACCTTGTGAGAAACATGATAGGTAGGTGGCAATGCACTGTTGTTATCATCCCCTGCAAGCCTCCGTTGTCATCTTAGTTCTTTCCGAGCTAACTTACGATGTCTTCATTAGACAAAACATCCCAAAGGCCATCACTTGCCAAAATCAATCACTCATCTTCTGAGGAAGAGGAATGTCTAATTTATGCTCGTTAGAGGAATGGCTATACTTCTGTGATTACCCTATTTGCTTTGCTTGATTTGGTTGTTGCACTTCCATGGCAGATATGTGTTCGTCAGGAAGTGTGAGAGGACACCTGCTGAAGAAGAGAAGTTCACAAATCTCTATGTGAAAAAAATTCTTTGATGACATTACAGAGGATCGTCTAAAAGAAATGTTTTCTGGATATGGGAAGATAAGTAGTGCAGTTATCATGAAGGATGATAAGGGGGTCTCAAGAGGTTTTGGGATTGTCAACTTCCAATCTCCAGATGATGCTAAGAAGGCTCTGGAGGCGATGAATGGTATACAACTTGGTAAAATTGATCATTTTTTTTTATGTTTTCCCCTTTTAAAACTCGGTAGTTCATCTAAAATAGTTATCATTTACATGTATGAAATTGATTTGTTTAGCAGGTTCAAAGAATTTGTTTGTGGGAAGGGCTCAAAAGAAGGCTGAAAGGACAAAGCTATTGAAACATAAGTACAAGGATGTGTTCGACCGCCGTTTCGAGAAATCAAAGGCTTCGAATCTCTACGTGAAGAACCTTAATGTATCCATCGACGACAAAAGATTACAAGAACTTTTTGGTCGCTTTGGACAAATAACCTCAGCTAGGGTGATGTGCCATGAGAATGGGACGAGTAAGGGATTTGGCCGTGTGCTTTTCCTCTCCCGAAGAAGCAATGGAAGCTTTTCATGGACTTGATCGTGAGACAAAGTTCTCTCTGCCCTTTTACCTCTGTCCTAATGATTTGAGCTTTGATTTCTTTTGTAGACCTTTGAAGTTTTGAGTAACAGTGCATGGTTACTAATTCGAATATTGAAATTATTTAGGGGCCTTATTTGTGTGGAAGTTTCTATATGTAGCAGTAGCTCAACGTAAAGAAGACCGCTCTAAGGAATTGCAGAACTATTATGGGCAAAACACCCCAGTACAATCCTCATATCAATCTAGTTGCAAAGGCGCTACCCCTCAGTTCCACCACCCATTTTACTATAATCTCCCCTTGCACTGCTGTTTCCCCACACCTGTTCCAGCATCCTTATATCAGCATCCTTTTGTTGCAAACGTCGGTATTCAGTATCCTTTTACAACAACAGATGGACAGCGAAAATTCTCATATGTAAGCATGTCTGGTTTTTCTTGGAAACTATACATATATTTTTGTTATGCAGCTCCATTCTGACTATTATTTGTGTATTTCTTGTGACTTAGCAGGATGAAATGAGACACATGAACCCAAGCATCGCTGGGTTCAGACGAGATTGCATGTTCAGGCAGCATGTATGAACTACCTCTGTAAATGGATAGTTTTTTAATTTGTGTACTCTACATATTTGCTAATGGAAACTCGTAACAACTTATTATTTAACATTCTTTTTTGTTTTTTGCTTACTTGTGTGACTGATTAGATTTTGCTTTTGTAACAAGATTAAGCATGGATTCTACTTGACTTCTTAATCCCTTATGTTACAGGCTATAACTCTAGTGTTCGGATCAGAGACCTGGATCTTATCAATCCTGGGAATAAGAAAGTAGGTTTCAGAAAGAGGGAGAACAAAAGGTGTAAACCTACTGAAAACTCTTCTGTAGCACTAGAAGCTATCCAATTTGTTACTGCAGCAACATCCCCTGGATACTCAAACTTAAGTCATTTATTTGTGGGGAATCTTAAGGTCTGCAGCCTAAATTCCCAGCAAACTTCTATTTTAGGAGAATGTTTTTGTTTGGTTAGTATTGCACTTTCTAATAAATTCTCTATCTCTCGGCCTAAACACGCCACGAAGGTATCAGGACAACCGCAGGAGATGAAGACTGATGCGATCAAGCTACTTGATTGTCCAAATTCCTTGGCACTGGAGGACAAGCCAATCCAAGTGCTAAAGGAGGCAAATGCCAGGACCAGTACCAGTACCAGTACCGATGCTGCTACTTTTGCCAACCTCAAATCTTCCTGTTGCTTGGGCTATTAGACAGTGCCATTACACATTTCTAACATGCTTACACTTTTCCTTGGGAGATTTTCAGTTTTGTGAATCACTTAGAATTGACATGATCCAGCTCTGTATAAAAAATTAGAAGGGAGAAAGAACAGTTTCTTGTTTCTCATTTCTGAAGAATATTTGGAGTTCTCTATTGATTGCCTTTTCCAGTCCTACAACTTTTTCTTCAATTTTTTCCTACGCTGTTATCTGTATCATTTCATTTTCTTGGTCCTAAGATACAACATTTAGGAATTGTAAATAAAAAATCAGGATAAATTGAGGAAAAAAGAAGGTTAACTACAAATACAAGCTACTGCAATATGAGTCACTTTTTAATAAATGTAATAGTAGAGAGTAGTGGTAAGCCTAGTACAGTCTACAAAGGGCAAGTAGACATGGTGTCCTAATGCATCAAAGGAGGGGAATGCCCTGAACATTCAATGCATCAGAAAGGACCCGATTAGCAACCTGAGATGGATGAACACTGTCCCAAAACACATACTGGGAGGCATTCGATCAAGTTCCCGGTGTATGCGGATTGCACAAGAATGCAGTCGTCTCTACGGTCCCTGTTCCACAGCAGCCTCTCGTCGCTTCCACGAAACCTACCAAAGTCATTTTCAGTGATTACATATATCAATTCTGTTAATCATTAAAAGAGATTCTTTTTCTCCACTAGACTAAGACATGGAGGAATCTCTTCCCTTACCGAAGGGGATTTAACAACATCAGATAGTGCCTTTAAAATGTCAAAAACCACAATTTGAGATCAGGGTACTGCTTCTGGAGATTGGCTGCGGCTGTATTGAGCTTTTTGTTGAATTGCTGAGCATCGGTATTTTTTTGATAGGAATAGGATGTCTCATTTAAAACCTCCTTCTAAGTAGTCCATTGCCGTAAGGCAAGAACCCTCTAGAAAAAGGAGGAAAAGAGAACATCAATTTTTTTGAGCATCGGTATTGAACCAGTCACACATCCATTCTCACGGTTACCAAACAAGTTTCTCGCTAAGGGAATGCAACCTAAGGGAGGAAGGGAAGTAACTCCAATTTTCCCGACTCCCAAGCCATACGTGTTCTGTTTAGCAGACAAATAACCTGAAAGGAAGCAAATTAATACTTGTATCCAACACTCACTATCCTGAATACTAGCAAAAAAGGAAGCAAATTACATACCTTGACGAAAGTTGTGAAGGCCTCAATGAGGAAGGAGCCATACTGGTCAGGAGTATAGGCATGGTTAAGTAAAGGATTGACATAGTAGTTCTGGACGAAGTCGCCGCTTCCAGCACTCAGTACATAGAGTTCATCCTTGATGATGGATGCTGATTTGCTACTGCCAGCTACCTTTGCTAGCTTCCCCTGATACTCCTTGAAATACTCTACTTGCTGGGTCAATGTGATAGCATGCTGCAAATAACATGGCAAAACTATGATTTTTTTTAAAAGGAACAATTACAACTTAAACTGCAAAGATATTGATGTTGAGATTCAATGTTATAAGATCAAAATCCGACATTTAACGCGGCAGCTCTGTCAGCATAGCCAGACCCGGCTGAAGCAAAATTGGCTCCAATAAGAAGGTTCTTCTGATGCTTCAGGGCTCAGATATGCTGGTGGATAACTAGTAAACCTCAGAGTTTCAGCTGCAAGTTCCAAGCTTATTAACTCTATCTGACCTACTAACAAAAAGAAGAAACGAAGAAAGAAATCAGGCTACCATCTTCCACTTACCAGTGTTGTCAGTGGCCAATTTCCCATTGCAGAACCTCCCGGTAGGCTTTTGATCGGCAAAGTCCCTCCCATAAGGAGGGTAGTTAGCTTGAAGATGGTGGGGAGATAGTCATTATTCCCCACATCCACCACTGAGTCACCAAACGTCATGATTGCTGGAACAAGAGTGGTCGATTCTTGAGCTTACCCTTTGCTTACTAATGCAAATGCAAACACTATAAACATGAACCATCTACTATAAACCTCCATTTTCATTAACATTTCATTGTATTTTGAAGCTTTGAATTCTGAGTTTGGCCTTATAAGCTGGGGGTTGATAATGGCCAATAAATGAGAGTAGCTGGAATTTATTATCATTCACGTCCTACATTTTAGATAGATATTATAAACCAAATTTGCTTTTGAGATTTTTTTCTTTCCAAAATTAAAATCTCTGCTTAGTCATAAAAGGAATAGATGGGAGAAGGTTTTACATTTATGAAGTTTTGAGTGCATTTATATCGAAACGACGAGAGGTAGGTGGGATAATAACAAAGAGCAGTGACGTCCATGGATTTGAACCTAAGAGCAACCCTGCATGTGCAGGAGTTGTTGGCAAAATACTGAGAAGAAAAATAGGGTATAGAGACAACACATTCATCCAGGTCTCATAGACTTACACAATAATATAAATATTATATGTGTAAATATTTTAAAATGTATATGTTACAGGTATAAAAATATTTAAATATGACTTAACATGATATATATAAATATATATATTCTAAGCAATTACAAATCCAACAACTTACAGGCCAAAAGGTCTTCCACTACGGTAGATATTGACTCAAATTCTTCCTTATTTTTCCGCTTACAAATTCCTAACACACTACCTAGCAACGGGAAGCATATCTGGATCCATCTCCCAGGAGGTCGTCTCAGTACTTAGGACCCTCTCATAATTTCTTCCAAGACATTCCTTCAGTTCTGCTAATACATGACTGATGTCTGGTCTCTGCTTTGAAGCTTGCATTGCACACAACATAGCTATCTCCACAGCTTTCCAGGCAGCATTGACGTCGAATTCATTTTCCAACCCGGGATCAACAATCATCTGAATATCTCCCTTCTCGATCATAGGTCTTACCCATCCAAGTATGTGTATGTTGCACTCAGTGCTTTTTTATCATTACAGGCTGCCCAGTGATCAGCTCAAAGAGGATTATCCCGAAGTTGTAGACGTCAATTTTCTTATTCAAGTTTCCTGCTGCATGAAACTTACATCGAAAGCACAGAGGGTTTTTCGTAACTAAGATGTTTACTGCAATTATTAGATCGATAGAGACAGATAGATCTAACTCAGGGTCGACGTATCCTAATGTGCTGGAAGGGCAAGATGTTAATACATGAGAGGCAGTTTCCGTAGAGAAAATTCTCGACAGCCCGAAATCAGCTATCTTTGCTTGCACGTTTTCAGTCAATAAGATGTTGGAAGGTTTCAAATCTCTGTGGACTATGGGCGGCTTACAGCAATTATGTAGATAGTCCAACCCTGCAACATAAGTCATGACTCATGAGTAAAGAGTAAGCTATTTTAATGGGGAAAGATTGAATATGAGCCTAAACAATCGAAAGCATACGAGCATGTTAAAGAGATCACATACCTTGTGCAGCATCCACCGCAATTTGAAGTCTTTGTTTCCAGTTTAAAACAGTTTTCTTTGTCTCTGCAAGAAACCAAATCATCTCTTTCGTTAGTGACGATCCAAACAAAATTTGAATATACATAATACAATCATCAATCCATACCAGATAAATGCTGCCTCAGGTTTCCGTTCGCCATGAACTCATAAACAAGTGCCATGTGGTCATCCTTCTCGCAGTAACCAATTAGAGAAACAAGGTTCTTATGATGTACAATCGTCAAGGATTGTGCCTGTACAAGTCATTTTATGCGAATGAGGACGTAGATGTAAAAAGTTGAACATGAAATGACACTTTCAATTGAAGATGCTAGCAACATTTATATCTAACCTCTGCTTGGAACTCCTTGTAACCTTGCTTTGATGATGAAGAAAGCAACTTCATGGCGACTGCAGTGCCATCATTAAGGTGACCAAGGAACACTTTTCCGAATCCTCCATCTCCGATTTCGATGTTAAAGTTAGCTGTAATCGTAGCAATATCAGAGTAAATAAAGGGTCGATTCTTGGATTTCAGCAATCCTTCCTCGTTTGATGCAGTAGAACTAACAACTTCTACAAAAATTTTGGGAAGCAATATTAATCAAACCACCATATTAACAACAAATTAAGTTATGGACATGAAAGAGTGAAAATACCAGTTAGTTTTCTTCGTTTTCTTCTGTGAAAGATGATTAGAACGCTTAGGAGGGTGACAAGAGCCACAGCAGCTACAGCCTACAATGGATACGAAAAGTGGAACAATAAACTTCTTGCTATTTCCTTCACAAGTTTGTAAACAGAAAACGGAGAATTGAGTAGCTGAAGCAACCCTTGATTGAATGGTGATAATGTCTTTTCTGAATAATTCCAAAATATATTTACCAAGTTATACGTTGCATGGTCTTGGTCCCCCCATTACAGATTTACAGTCTAATTAAAGGATTGACATTTACATCATGCGTATGTGCACTGCCACCATGACTGTTGAATGTGAATCAATTCCAGTCCTTGACTAGTATGAATTCAATCAAAACACAATAATCTTCTTCTAGGGTTTGTACCACGAGGAAGAAGAGCACGTGCCATAGCCCAGGGTATCATGGGAGATAAGAAAATAACAAGGGTTATCACAACATATCTTGTCTTCTCCCCTTCCATATTTGCCTACAAGTTTATGAACGATGATATAATACATTAGTTGGTACTAATCCACCATATTTATATGCACTTCTTAATCGAATAAGTCTTTGTATGAAAGTCATCTGCAACTTCGCTTCTTCTTTTTATTAACAATTTTCCAATCAAAATTGTGATTTGCTCCAATATCCAACGCATTAATTTATTTATATTTCTTTCCCCTGCATTTCCTTAAGCCAGAGCTTCCCATTATATATACGTTCAAAGAAGACTTAAAAGTTTACTTGACTCGAACTCAAGGAATGGTCTTATGATAAAAGGAATATGTTTAAAACAGGGCCTATTCTTTGATGACAATTGTTGAAAACGCTAGCATTACTTTTATTACAAGGAAACAGATAAATTCTGAAACCGAAATTACAACCATTACTTTATATATATAGAGAGAGAAAAGAAACATCTAGTTGACTCGACCGTCTTCGAGCTTGATGCGAGGAATGAATGTGTGGGATCAGGAAGAACCGAAATTCACCATCTTAGTTTTGCCGGAAAGTACTGCAGAAAAAGAAAGAAGGAAATTAATTAATTGTATTGCAGAACATGACAAGGATATAGGTGGACTAAGCCAAGTCTGAAGCTGTGCTAACCTTTTCTATGAGGGAGACATAGTATGGCTTGACCTTTTCGACATCAATCCGGTCTTTGCTCTTGCTGTAAAGATCATATTTGCTGCATAAAATGTAAGATTCAAATCTCAGACTTGTCGCAAACCGCCAGTAGGCATAATGTTCGATTCGTCTAGAAGTCGGTCAGGTATAAAATAAATCAGAAGTCATACTTGAATATTTCGAGCCACTTCAGATTCTCGACATCCTCCTCATTCATAAGTTGCTTGTATGATCCTGACCTATGCAGGGCTGCAAAATAAAATGCATCATCTCAATTATGTAAATTGGAATTGATCAAGGGGACTCATCCTTACCATAGAATGAATGGTATCTAATAATGAAAAGAGCTGCCGACGGCAGAGTCGTATTGTTCTCTTTAGCAACCTGAATATAGATTCCGAATTAGTTTTTATCGATGCATTTAAGGATGCGAAAAAGACACCAGAATTCATATCGGATACTTAGGTGGGGAGAGAGACCAGATACATGTAGTCATCATGTCCCCATGACATCAGAACATTGTTAAGTCCACATCCCTCTGAGTACACTCCATATTTAGTGTTGTAAGCAGAGTTGTGATAGTCTGGATTTTCCTCAAAATACTGCACCTCGAAAATACTACACCTCGAAAATACTAGATAGTTGGAGATTATCAGAATAAACGAAATTGTTCAATGTTTCGAAGCGACGAGTTTGTTTATAAAGGAATTACCTTGTGGTGAACAATCGATTCATCGAAAGCACAGCCGACGGGATATGTATCACCTACATCAGCCCACTGGGGAAGCCCTCCAAAGCTAGGATGAAGAAGAACTTTTCCAAGGTCTAAAAAACCCCATAGAAGAAACATACCACTAGTTAACAATACACACATCATGCAAAATATCGATCTCGAGAAATAAATGTCCGATAAGAAGATATATTACCATGGATAAGGCCTGTGAGGTGCAGCCAGTCCTCACCGGGATAGTCCTTTCGGATAGCCTCGGCCGTCTGCAGCAGGTGTTCAATCTGAGGCTCATCTAAGTCAGGATCACTCTCATCAACTACATCATTAAGAAGTTCACAGCATTCCCATATGCTCATTTCCACCTTGTCCAGTTTCCCATACTCTTTTCTCATTCTCTTGACCTGCAGATTGAGTGATTTTTCTCTCCAAATTTATTAACTTCAAATGTACAAATATTTAGGAAAAATGGAGTGATTGCACAATGAAGCACAGGCTACATACAAAGTCATATGTCTGGATAATATGATTGGTTCGATAGAAATTCTCTACAACCTGTTGCCTCTCACTTTCAACATGATAATCTCTGCAGTTCACAAATACAGTGAAGAATGATCAGTCATAACCAAATATGCACATGATGAAAAGGAGAAAGATGGGTCCTTTTGTCTTTTTTCCCCTGATAATGAAATAAAGTAGCCTTGATTGATTCTATTCATGTTTATATCCATTGGCCAATGGCCTTTTGCTCTTAAAAGCAACAGAAAACTCAACCTAAAAGTGTGGCCAAAAGCGTTGCTCTGTGGCACCATAAACCCTGCTTCAACTCCTGATAAACAAAACCAGAAAGATCCCAGAATTCAATTAGTTAAAACAGACTGTTTTCATATATAAAATAGCATAAAAAGATGGAGATCATGAAGAATTACCAAACTCAGGTTGATCAATGAGTATAGTCATCTTGAATGAAAAGATAACAAAAAAACCCCACAAATATGATATAAAAAGAATTGAATGGTGCGTGATGAGGATGGTGAGATGTTAAGGTGCAGCAAAATATCATGGTATTTATAGTCAGCCGGGGGAAGTCCTTGACTGAGAATTCCAACATCTTAAGTCCTTCACTGAAAATCTCATGTCCTTCCCTGAAAATCTACAAAACTTTTGATTCCTCATTCAATATCTTTATTGATGAAGAAATAATTGTTTTATTACAATTGAGAATGGAAATGTTTAAGCATTTTTAGGTTTAGTGAGAGGCAAAGAAGCAAGAGTTTGATAGCAAGTTCGCAAAGACCCACCATTTAATTTTCTAAGATTTGGTTCCTTATCTTAAAGCAGAACATCATTGTCATGGCTGAGTCGGCTCATCGTTGGATACCACAAGTTGACAGACATTCTGAGGCCGGTTCATATGATGGTCATTGTCCAGTTGTGGTGGTGGCACCCTTCCTTTGTTCTTATCAGGCGTAAACGTAACCACTGCATTCCCTGATCTGAATTGGAGAGCCATGAGCGTTTGTGCGACCAAGCCGACGTCAGGGGTGAGGTGTGGCAACCCCATGGACGTACGGGCTGTGTCGGGAAACGATGGGAAGTTGACACGCGTGTCGTTTTTTCCAGCACCATCAGACTCGTTTCTCGTGTTGGCTAAAATTGACTATAGAATTGAATATTTTTTGATGGTATATCCTGATTCATTAGGCAGAAGAGGACTAATTTGAACAAAATTTTAAATTAAAGTAATTATAAGTAAATGTATATTAAATAGATAAATTTGACTTGACTTCATCACTTACGCTTATTGATTCTTTGACCTGTAACTCAATTATCAAGTGACATAACTCAATTATCAAGTGAACCTCAGTCATATTTTCTTTAGAAGTTTTGAGTTCGAACAATTAACATGTGCAAATATTGTCTTAAGAAGTTTAGAGTTCGAATAATTGCATTCGCAAGGTGTGTTATCAATTGATTAATTTTTTTGAACAAATACTACTTTGTAATTATTTCAGACTATTCAAAAAAATTATTTATGATCAAATTAATTTGTGGTTTATTTAATTAATTTAATCAGTTTAAGTTATTAAATCGGTTTAATTATTACTTTTGAAAATCCATGTAGTGAAAACCAAATAAAATAATAAAATAAACAATAAATAAACCCTAAGATACTATATATCTCAAATCAATATTCAACTCATACAAAACCAGTCTAATCCTCCATTAAAAATGGGTTAAAAAAACAATGGCTTCAAAATTTCATTCTCTTAGCTGGACCTTGATCAATGATGGGATCAAGGGCAGGAGGTTGAGGTTCCGCTGCTTGCTGGTTTTCCGGCTCTTTCTCTGCCTCTGTTGTAGGAGGAATAAAGCCGTCGGGAAACGGAGGTGGTGGAGGGGCTGGCCCTAACTGCAATTTGAATACATAGATTATTCTCAAAATAAAGAAGAAATCACAGATAGTTTCTTCAAAAACCAAAAAGGGGCTAGTAAATTTCTTCATAAAGAAAGGTTGTGATTTATGAATTATCAAAGTCAGTTTCCACATGACTATTTTTTTGGACTACTTGAAAGCATAAACTCCACAAACATCAAGTAGAAAAAGCAAGACAAGTAGGCAACAAACCAATGAAATCTCAAATGAAAAATGTTAGTGGATCATATTATGGATCCTATACGATCATACAAATTAAGATCGATATATGAGTGTGGAGGCAAAAATTTTACAACACATTGGTTACCTTTCGCTGTAAGGAGGCGAGAATATGATCCACACGCTTAACTTCCTTGAAGTCGATTGCCTCTTTACCACCCTTTGGTTCCAAAGTTTCACTTTCATTTTCAGTATTAACTGTATCAGAAATTCAATTCAAACAGTGTAAAAAGGCAACAATGAATGATGCGGGCACAATATGAGATACCAATGGATGCATTCCTACAGAGTTTGAAACACTAACAAGATTTGATTAATCAGATAAAACTTACTCCTAGAATGATGTCGCCAGAAAAGCTACAAATCAAAGAGTTAAAACTGCCCCTATATTGCTTATTAAATGAGAACACAGAGAATCCTTCAACAAAAAAACCAATCAACTGTGTACAAGCAAGGATGAAATAACTATTCTGACCATGTAATTATAGGAGACTAGATTCAGCATGCCTTGAACATTTACACGACTGTGAAAGAATTTAAGAACCGCATCATGAGTCACCGACAACCACAACAAAATTGTTCTAGTTTATGCAAGGATTACATGGTGGTCAGAAACTAGGGTAACTGAGAAACTTATTGGACCATGTCACAACAAGAAGAATATAATCTACCTCTGTTTTTCACATTGCTCTCTCTCTCTCTAAAACCTAAATAAACATAAACTATTTCCAATTAAAGAAATCAGAAGTGATTCCTATCAATGAAAAAAGGGAAAAAGACAGAAATATTTACCATATCCAATCTTCTCCAATTTTGATGCAGCAGTTGTAAAAGCTTTAGATATATAATAGAGAGCACGTCCCTGTCACATGGATAAATTATCAAAATCCAAAAGATGAAAGTGCAAACAGACTCGATGCGAAGGGACAATACAGGGAGAATGCTAATTTTATGAAGACAAACAACAGAAATTTATTCCTTTAAACTCTGTTTACTTGTTAAAACTCTTTTTTTCTCTTTGTTTTTATTACTGGATTTCTTTCTTAACTAGATATTCACTTCCAGGTGTGTAGTACAAATGACCAAGACATCTGAAGACTGAATGGAAAACCAGTTTTGGTAATATTTAAACAAAAAGAATGATGTTACCAGACTGAAATCAAAGGAGTGTCCAGGTGATAGTATCATTTTGTTATACAGACATAAAACATGAAAGGAAAACAATGTGACGGAACTTACAACTCGAGCTGCAAAGACATTGCAAAGCTGTGGTGCTTGATATATAGAACCATCCAAAATATAATATGCCAGCATCGGTGTGACTTTCTCTGCACTGTCCCTCTTTTGCTTACGAATAACAAAGAGATGTGGTTCCATAACTTCACTAAGCATATATTCTATCCCAGTCATTTTCCTATATTAAAGGGGGGGAAAAGAAATTACTGATTTTATGAGTAACTAAATCTTTAAACTAGGATTATAAGCGACGATTGATAAGATAATCAGCAAGTTTTCCAATCAAATGCTTTTTGGTAGCTATCAAAGCATTTTTCAAGTAGATAAAAAGCCAATCACAAATACAAACAACTAGGCTTCCCTATTCCGCTGGCAGAATGCATGGAAAATGGCTCATCTCTGGGTAAAATTGGAAACCAAATATTAACAAATTTAAAGCTTTGATTTACCCGAACAACTAATTCGTTAACATATCAATTGGGTTTCAGAATATTGACATATTCAATTCCAAAAATAAAAATGAATAATTTAATCTTGCAACATGCCAAAGAGAGTTGATTAACAGGGAACAAAAGAACTCAGACTTAAATTTACTTACGAAAGTTGAGAGATATCGAGGGGGTGAATGGATCGCATCCTGAGCTGCTCGTTGTTGCAGGTCCAATCATAGAACGGAGATAGGGCAAAGTAATCGAAAACCAGGTTTCGATCCAGAGGGTACGTGTTTAACCACAATTGGTCTCTGAAACATATGCCCGTCATGTCGGTTCCAGGAGGCTGCATAGGAGGTGGCGGTGGTGCTTCAAAGTCCCCCCCTGCCGCCGCCTGTGATGGCGGAACTAGTGGCGTCGCCATTTTGGAACTATGTTTCCTGGTAGGTTCTAGTTGACGTTTAGTCCGGTTATCATGCCTTTTAACTATATAAGGTCTCGAACGACGTCGTTAATAAAACGGTCGACGTAATTAATCGCAAGATTAGTTTGTGTTTTATCATGATTTTTATTCTTTTTATATTTATATTTTTACATAATTTCTTTAATAAATATTCTTATTTTCTAATAAAAATAGTTAGTATTTTATTTTATATATTTTTAGATTCATGTTTATTTAGTATTGCATTTAGAGCTTTCAAATTATATATATATATATATATATATATATATATACAAATTATAAAAATTACAATTGTTTATCACAATGTTTAAAGTTTTATTGGAAAAATTATTCTCAAACAATGCATTGATAGTGTAATCTTCAAGTAGGTTCAATAACTCGTAAAATTATACATTATCATCATTGTCAAGAAGCAAAACCCATATTTTTGTATACTGATTTAGATGATAGACTCGAACTCTAGCCTTGTGACAAAAGCTATCAGATTGGTCAAATTTTAGGTTGGATCATTATCTTCAAGTAGGTTGTCCAAACTTGCTTTCGTTTTTTCCCCCCAGTTTTTTTAAAGAATACTTGATCTGTGCTATATATTACACAAATTCTAATCATCTATGTACAATTAACTAAAAATTACAGTTGATGCAATAACGGATATCAAGTCAATATATGGAGTGAAGAGAAACTGGAAAGGAGAACCTTGTGCACCTAAAACTTACTCATGGGATGGCCTTAATTGCAGTTATGACGGCTCCGGTCCTCCCCGAATTATATCTTTGTAAGCATGTGTCTTCGAATAATCATGCTGGTTTAAGCTAGTAAATGCTTTCACTTTTCTAGTAAAATGTACATGTCTTTGGCGTTTTCCATATAATCCATACCTATTCTTTGCATACTGCGTATGCAATCAGGAACTTGTCTTCGAGCGAATTGACTGGAAAGATCTCTGCTTCGATTTCTAAGCTTGCAATGCTGCAACATTTGTAAGTAAATATCTATGTCTAGACAGATAGGAATGAAAAAATGAAGCAGCAATATCATCTATGACCATGGAAATTGAACAGATTGAAAATTTTTGTTTCAGGGATTTGTCAAACAATAGCTTAACTGGAGATGTACCTGATTTTCTATTACATATGCCGCTCCTGAGCATCTTGTAAGTCGTCCTGTTTTCGAATTAGATGTAAATTGAAAATCTATAAGTAATAATGGATGTTGCATCAATCCTACTGAAGAAACTTGGAAGGAAACAAGCTTTCAGGTTCACTTCCAGTTGCACTCATGGAGAGATCAAATAATGGATCACTATTACTAAGGTCTGCTTCTTGTCAAATTCAATTACTCATATCAGAATCTTAGTTCAAGATAGTGAACAGTCTACCATGTACCATTTTTCGCGTTTAAATCCCAAGTGACGATATAGTTGTTCCGTTTTTTATCTCAAATATCACTGATTTAATCATTTATCGATGCAAGTGTCGGAGAAAATCCAGACCTATGTCTGACAGCTTCATGCCAAAGGAAGGAGAAGCATAAGAACAAGCTTGTTGTTCCACTTGCAGCATCGGCTATTGTGATTTTTGTGATCTTAGCCGCATTAGCTGCATTTTGGAGCCTTCGAAGAAGAAAACAAGAAGGTATGTATATCACAAAAATATTAATCATATCTATTCAATAAAATGAGAAAAAGAATACCCCAGGTGCATCTCTGCTTATTAAACTTGTGTTTTGGTGCTATTGTTAGTTGTTACAAAAGTGAGTGCTGAGGATCAGAACAAGGGTGGAACAACATTGGAGTCAATAAATCGAAAATTTACATATTCCAAGGTCCTAAAAATTACCGACAACTTTGTGACTGTTCTTGGGAGAGGTGGATTTGGAACAGTGTTCCTTGGCTGCTTGGATAATACTCAAGTAGCGGTGAAGATGCTATCTAAATCATCAGTCCAAGGCTCGAAGGAGTTTCACGCAGAGGTCTGCACATTTATTATTCAACCCCTGGAATAATGTTAAGCTCATTGGCACATTTTTTGGTTATATTCAATGTGTGGCTTCATTTTAGGGGTCAAACTCCTAATGAGAGTGCATCATGCCAACCTAACTAACCTTGTTGGGTATTGCAATGAAGGCAGCCATATGGGACTTATCTATGAGTACATGGCTAATGGAAACTTAAAGCAGCATCTTTCAGGTCTTTGTAAGAGAACATCACACGCCCAATTTGTTCAAATGCATCTTGAAATTCACAAACTTGAATGAACTTAAGTTGCTATGGTGATGCAGATCGAGATGCACATACCATGAGTTGGGAAGAAAGGCTTCGGATAGCAGTCGATGCAGCTCAAGGTTAGAGAATTCAAAGCCTTTCACCTATCCAATTATTTCCTATATGCGATGAACATAACTCAGATGATGTGTTGTGGAATTTGAAAAATCTAGGATTGGAGTATGGATCTAATCCACCCATTGTTCACAGAGATGTGAAATCGGCAAACATCTTGTTGAATGAAAAATTCCAAGCCAAATTAGCTGATTTTGGCTTGTCAAGGGCTTTTCCAGCTGAAGGTGGCACTCATGTCTCAACAATTGTTGCTGGCACCCCTGGCTACCTTGACCCTGAGTAAGCTTTTTTCATGTTTCACATTTGTTCCGCCTCCGTCAAAAGTCCTCCACATTGTTTTCACGCCTCAAAGTTCTAGGAGAACCCCATAGTCAAGATCTCGGAAGAAATCTCCGGAGAAAGAATCTCAAACACTCAACACTCCTTGAAAACTGGGACTTGTTGGCATGACCTCTAACAGTCGCACATGACCTACCAGAGCCAAATCTACTATCACCTATAATCTTACCATATTTACCGAGCCTCATAATAATACTATCTCTGACACTTGCATTAATGGTTACTACAAAGCCTCTCAATCAAGATCGGAGAAAGGATATCTTCACTCATCTCCTGTCTACTTTCTTATGCAGATAAAATACTTTGACACTACGACGGTCCTTCTACTGACTACGACTTTCTATCCAAACCAAACTGAAAACATGATCATACAATTATTTTTAATTAAATCAAACAAACATCATTAATTACTAACTTCTATATGCTTGGAATGCAGATACCTAACAACCAACAGGTTAAACGAGAAAAGTGACGTGTTTAGCTTTGGGGTTGTTCTATTGGAGATATTTACAAGCAGGCCAGTGATCACCATATGGAACGATGAAGCCACTCACATTAGTCAATGGGTTAGTTCCTTGTTGGCAAAAGGGGACATCAAGGGCATCGTTGATCCAAGGTTGGGTGGAAATTTCGAGATCAATTCTGCATGGAAAGTTGTGGAATTAGCATTGGGGTGTGCGTGTCGCAACTCAACCGATAGGCCAACCATGAGCGAAGTGGTGATGGAATTGAAGGAGTGTTTGAAAAGAGAGGTGGCTCGCAACAGGGGAGTCCCCGGCCCAAGAACTAGCGGCCTAAGGCGCGGAATAAGCATAAATCTGGATACCGAACCCTCTCCCAGAGCAAGGTGAAAGTGTATTATTGTGATTCATTTAATGGGACACATAAATAATCTGTGTTTCTTTTTTCTTTCTCGATGTTATTAGGGTTTGACCCTTGATCATAATTGCTGGCAAATAAGTGTTTCTTTTTACCATTCAAATCATACATTATATATATCATGCTATGTCTTATATATACTGTGAATATCTTTTTGTCAACGAGAAGTATGGAAATTGATGGAAATTAGTCTCAACTTACAGAGATATGATTCTTGGAGGATCATAACCATTATAACTACAATCTAGACCCTCCCACAAGTAATCCTTGGGAACACATGGATCTCCTTGCCAATTTCTCTTCAATCCATACATTGATTTTATATTCAAGATAACATCAACTGTCATGTTACAAAAAATATGCAGATTGAATTCGTGTTAGTTTAAACATTAGTCAATATATGTTAATCATAGGAACATACCATCTTTCTGAACCATTTCTGATTTTGAGAAATTTTTAACCAAATAGATCTCGATAGCGTTAAGGATGGGTGGATGGGTCGAATCTTCAGTTCTGTATATTGAAAACTTCTGTTCATTTCCAGTCGATGGATATTGGGAGAAAATAATGTGTGCTGACAAGTAGGAAGGACGGTAGGGTCCAAACCAATGCTTTCCATTGTAAGATATGTTGAACACTCTAGACTCATTGGCTTTTAGCTCTTCAAGTTCGGCAATGTGGATATAGACATAGAGTTGGGAATCTGGATCAGTTCTGATGGAGAAGTCCATGGACATATTAGCATTGACTAGTGTACCAGCAGACATCATGGCACGCAACGGTGGACGGTAATTGTTATTTTCAGAGTCGATGACTAAAGACGTATTTATTTGTTTCCAATCAAGTTTACTGTAAGGCCACCATACACGATCATACAAGTCTTCTTTATACCTGTGAGAAATTGCTCATTAAAAGTATGATCTTAAGCAAATATATGTATGCATATGAAACGAAATAGCTTATACCTAAATGTTCCAGGTGTTGCTGAGGCAACATCGAACCTTCCGAAGTGTTCCAACGATCCGGCTTGAGTTTGATATGTTGTATTTGGCAAAAACCTTAGTTCTAATGATGATATGAAAGGAACCCCATTGCTGCAAATGATTTGAAGGAAGGACATGGATAATGTCCATTGTTAAATCACTTGACACATTTGTAAGAATCACGGTTCCCCAGAACTTTGATCCCAGGTGAAGATCAAATCTGGGAATTTCATTTTTCCCATCATAGTTTCCGTACACAAAAAGAGATCTGATTAAGTATTTATCTCCCATTTTCAGGCTTATATTATAACAGTTCCGGATCCCTTCAGGAAAGCTTCTCAAATGCCAAGCCTCTGCTGCACAGTTGCTTGGAATTCAAGTAAGATCCTCTTGCTCACGCCGGTTTCGATGTAAGCTGCATCTGATATGTAGTTTACGCCGGTTATGATTTGAGTATAGGATGAGTTTTCCGGTGACCCGCAATCCAAGCTAATGAAACCTGAAAAAGGAAAAAAAGAACCATAGGGTAGGACTCGGTTATATAGCGGAGAAACGTCCTGAAACACTATCGTTACATGCTATTAGCTAAAGATTTAGGAACCTGAACCTGATTGATCCTGAGCATGAATCAACATTGCAAAGCAAAAACTGCTAATCAGTACAAGAAGGAAATGCTTTAACATCTCCATTAGCACAATGGTGAGTTCTTTGCAAGGTGAGCAATGGAACAGTAAGCATATGTGTGTAAGTTATAATAAGCAAAGTAGGGTATTGGTGAAATAAATTATGAAAGCGAACTTGGTCAACTATTCTTCCATATGATTAGTTAAGCACTATATTTGTTGTATCCATGGACGGACATAAGATATTATGTTAGGAGGTGGAAAATTAGGAAGTAATATTAGAAATTTAAGAGTGTGAAATTACAAAATTTTAGGGCATACAAAATCATATCATCAATAGAAAATATCTAAACTACATGAGAATTTAAATTTTTCAGATAATGTGATCGTACCCGAGCCCCTCGGTTTATCCATGGTTGGATCACTGTCATCCCATTCCCATACTGTTTTTACCAAAATATTCAATGTTTTGTCAAAATATGTAGTTTTTACCATAATTTATATACCTTGCTAAAATTTATGACAATTTAGCACTTTTTTATAAATAGAATAAAATATCTAATGATATGTCCATAACAGTTCAACACTGACTCAATCCTAAACCGAATCGGCGGTATTATACGGACAATAAAATCAAATACTTATTTGATTATTTGAATTTCTAGGTAGGAATGTTTGACAATGATTATTTGAACTTGACCACTATAGGTTTAGAGTTCAAGCCAAATCCCCCATATAAATCCATGCAACCGAAACCGAGTCCTGTTCATTTCTATTGTAATAGGTGGTGTATAAATATAGTCGATGATCTTTAAAATTCTATTTTGCAAATGAAGAAACAGTCATCATGAGAGAACATACATAGATCTGAAGAAAATATTGAGTTAACAATTTCAACATATTGATTTCCGATTTTATTAAAGAAAATATATAATCAAAAGATCTTGACATTGTGATCAGAGTTTGTTTACAATCTCAGTTTCTTCATGAAAAATGAATAAAAAATGAAGTGAGTGGAGTCTAGCGACGTCATAGAAGTTTTGGCACCAGAAGCAGCTGTTGGGTTTGGTAGAGGGTCCTGAACCTGACCCTTCTGGCTAAGATGAGTGGACACATCGGTGGTGCCGTGGTCAGAGTGGTGGCGGTCGTCAGAGTTAGGTGGAGGATGGTAGTATAAGCGTCCAGTTTGTGGGCAATGGGAATGGAACCTTGCAGCTATTCTTATCCATGCATCCAATAACAACGTATATTTTCCCATTCAAAGGAGAGAAATTCTGGTGTTGGATTGCTCCGAAGCTTGTGTTTGATGAGAAAAGATTAAGGGGAGATTCTTGCTTTTATACTCCCTTTAAAGTCATTATGACTTTTTTCTATTTTGTGTTTCATTTCCTATTTGTGATCCTTCTTTGACCTTTGCATAGTTGTTTTACTTTAATTGCAGTTTGTTGAAATAACAAAGTATAATGATCTATTTCATTGTTTAATTTGGTACATTTCCATAAGTAGCATTGAAACCATCATCATCCTACAAGCCGACGTTGTTGTGGTTGTTGTTGTTATCTCTGCTAGTGTTCCAATCAATTGGTCATTCAAAATCTGGGAACTGCAATTCTTCGATCAGCTTTGAAGAATTGCAGGAAGTAGAATGTGGATGATGGCCCGGAATTAGTACTAGGGACCAAATTCTAATGGGGTTCGGTCAACGGAACTTTGTCGGTGCAATAACCATCGATATCTTTCACCATTGTCGTCGTCTCCGTTGTTTGGTCGAGTAAAGGGTATGTGATTGTCATGCTCTTTACTTCCTCCTTTGATTCAGTTATTGTGGAATTTAAGGATGTTTCAGGCAGCTCCTTGAAATGAAATCCATCTTGGAAAATGATTTCCTGCACTTTCATTTTTCAGTACACAACCTTTTCCTCTCTCCAATTTTTAGAAATTTAGACCATTTCTTTATTTTTTTCCCCCTAAGGTATATGCAGCAGGACAGTTAGTTGGCCTCTTGAATTTTATCCACTATCAGCAATGATGTTCTGCCTCAACTCGTCGGTGCTGAAACATCGACCACTGTGTGGAGTGTTATATTCAGGTTGTAGTCGAAATTAAGCAGGATGATACTTATGCATCTGCATTGTACACTTGGCTCGCCGGTCGCTCTTTTATGTTACTCGACCATTAAGTATTGAGAAAATAACTTTAGTGGCCGAAAATGTCTTATAATATACGATTTTAACCAACTTTTTTTGGATTTGCCAAAATGACCAACAAAATCGCAACGCGAACTCTAATTTTTCAACTCAGTTTCTAAATTCGCAACGCGATTTTGCGATAGTCCAAGTTCGCGTTGCGATTTTCCAAATTTACGTTAGTCCAAATTCGTTGCGATTTTCCAAATTCGTTACGATAGTCGAAGACACGTATTACCACGACCACGACTGGTGGTATTGTATTTGTTTCTTAAGAATTTTCTCTAAAAAGATAATATATGCTCGGACGTGTCGAAGACACGTATTACCACGACCACGAGACGGCGGCGGCGGCGGTGCGCGAGAGTCCCCCTTGTTCTCTTCCACTCAACAAGGAAGTGGGAAATTCAAGCCTTAAATACCCATTCCCAATAGTGTTTCCAATACTATGTGGGATTGAGCATTGCCAACACTTGGGAATCTTTTACACTATCGCAATACATTCTTTATTGTTTCAAACTCCACGTGAATTTGAAATAGTTAAAATGTAAACTTATTTTGGATTTTTCATTATCGCAACACTTTTTCACTATCGCAACAACACGTTTTTCAAACTCTCGCAACACATTTTAACTATCGCAACACATTTTTCAAAATCGCGTTGCGAATTTGGAAACTGAGTTAAAAAATTAGAGTTCGCGTTGCGATTTTGTTGGTCATTTTGGCAAATCCAAAAAAAGTTGGTTAAAATCTTATATTATAAGACATTTTCGGTCACTGAGGTTATTTTCTCTTAAGTATTTACCTTTGTTTAATTTTTTTGGGTAAATTTATACAAAAAGCCCTGAAACTTTCCTCTCAAACCTAGATTTCGGACTCCCTTTGATTCACCTGTCAGAGCATTTTCTTCAAAATTTGAACGGTAGGGAAGCCGAGAAGGAGGAGAAAAGAAATATATCTTGATTCCAAGTTGATCATATGATGGAGATGACATAACTGACCAAGATAAGATCGAAGCTTTAATTTGAGTTTTATCAATTTCGAGAAAAATCAAACTAAGAAGAAGAAAGAGGAGTGAAAGTGGAATGTTTTAGCACCAGTTCCATCATAAATGACGACAGTCAATGATCAAACTACGTTGGAGAATGATGTCGATCATGAGGAAGAAGAATGCTAAAAG